CGAGACGAAGACGACGACGATGACAGACGAAGACGTCACCGACGACGACGACGTTTAAGATGACGAAGACAAAGATGATGAAGATGATGAAGATGATGAAGACAAAGATGACGAAGACGACGGAGACGCCGAAGACGACGACAACGATGACGACAGAGACGAAGACGACGACGGGAGGACGCGTGGACCGGCGTGCGGCCCGCAAATATAATTCGGTTAAATATTGAAAAAAATATTTAATAAAAACTGAGCGTGCGGATTCTTCGCTTCTTCCTCCGCCTCGATATCAAACGCGGGGGGTGCGGGCGGGGGCGGGCGGGGAGGTGAATCACCGCTCCGGCGGTGTCTGGTAACGAAGTCCTGGACGATATGAAAGGGAGTCGGAGGAGGATGAGGAGGATGATGATGATGATGAGTTTAATGAGCGTCCAGTGTTCGGAGAATATCAGCGGCAGCGGCAGCAGCAGCTCGCTAACGACTCCCCCAGGCACCTGCCGCCCCCACGACTACGGAGCCGTTCTCGGTAATCGACTCAAAACTCCCGTGAGTCACCAAACTCCGTGCGGCACAGAGAGGTGACAGGAGGAGGGGGGTGATGGGCATTTGTGTTCCGTAGAAAACTTCGCAAAAATCCTCCTCCCGCCGCCGCCGTCACCGTTAGATCCGTCAGCTGAGCGGCACCGTCACCGTTAGATCCGTCAACATTAGATCCGTCACTGTTCGATCCGTCAGCTGAGTGGCACTGTCCTCGTTAGATCCGTCAGCTGAGCGTCACCGTTAGATCCGTCAGCTGAGTGGCACCATCCCATTAGATCCATCACCGTAAGATCCGTCCCCGTTAGATTCGTCACTATTAGATCCATCACCGTTCGATCCGTCAGCCGAGTGGCACTGTCACCGTTCGATCCGTCAGCTGAGTGGCACCATCCCATTAGATCCGTCACCGTAAGATCCGTCCCCGTTAGATCCGTCCCCATGAGACGTAATAACGCTACTTTCCTTTTTTTGGTTTTACGCACACCTCGGGAGTTTAATTAGAGATGGTTCACCGTCTGAAGTCGCCCGCGCTTCTCATCTCCGCCAAGGAGTGCAAACCATCGTCATCACGCGAACTCCGGTCGTCATCCTCGCATCAGCAGTAGCATCAGCAGTAGCATCATCATCAGCAGTAGCATCAGCAGCAGCATCAGCAGCATCATCATCAGCAGCAGTATCAGCAGTTGCATCAGCGACGGCTTCGGCTCGGCCGTCGAAGAAAGACAGTGGTGGTCACCGCATCGTCGTAGTCGCGGCACTTTCAGACGCGCTGCTTCTGCGGCCGTCTGGAACGCTCTCTTCCTTCCGACGTTAGGCAGCCAGTGGGTGCTGTGATGCACTTTAAAGACAATCATCTTGATGGACAAACTCATTTCTCTAGAACTGCTTGTTTGTTGTTGTTTAGTGTTGTTGTCCTTCCCCCGCACCTCCGATTAGCACGGTTGGCTACGTACGGTGCGAAAGAAGTTCAACGTACGTACAAGAAGGTAGCCTCGCCACCCAGCGGCAGCTGTCCCTGCGTGGCACGAGGCGTCTCGGCACCTGGCCTGCACACACGTGGGGGTTGACAGCAGTACGGTTGAGTAACGCCCCGAGTAACGTTTAACCTTCGGCAGACCTGGGTGGATTTGACAATCGGCGTCCGTGCCGGTGGCTGGGAGATGTGATCGCTCTCCGCCTGGCACACGGCAGGTCGCGGGTTCCATCCAGACCCCGACGCCTGCCGTATATTTGGAATCGGAATGTTTATTCGTGCTGGTGGAATCCGATGGCCTGTAAAGCTTTTCTTCACAGATGTCCAGTAGTGGAGTTTGCGTGTCTCTCCCCGTGGTCACTGCGTGGATTTTTCTTAAGTTCCTCCGTTTCCCCCCGTCGCCCGTCCACATTTAGAATCAACGTCACCACGCGTTTAAGAGTATATCGCTGCTGCTGCCAATTTCCACACGACGACGACGACAATAAGCCGCCCACTTCGCCGAGTTATTATTTGTGATCGCCAGGTCGATTCTAAAAAAGTGCTACCCTATATAGCAGCTCAGTTGTGGGTCCTTACCTGGTAAAATGTATAGAAATGCGTGTGTTCTGGGTTTTAAGTAAATTGTGGGGAGTGGTGGTGTAGCGCTTAGCACACTGCGCTAAGAACCCGGTGACACGAGTTCCATTGCCGCTCGCGACCAACACCAGTGGCGAATATTTGAACCGGTGCTGGGCCTCCCCTAGGTCGACTCGGCCTCAAATGAGTACCTGGGACGGCGTGTAGTAAACATCGCCACTGGGGAGCCAAGGGCAGCCGGATGTGCATGGTGCTGGCCACCCCATCGTGTACCACAGTGCCAGTCTGCTACTCGCTAACAGCACTTGCCCTGACAGTCTGTTAGAGGCTACACGGGGGATCTTTGTCTGTCTCCTCCATAGGTGCTGCTACTCGCTAACAGCACTTGCCCCGACAGTCTGTTAGAGGCTACACGGGGGATCTTTGTCTTTGTCTCCTTCATAGGCGCTGCTGCTACTACTTGCAAATAACACTTGCCCCGACAGCCTTTGAGAGGCTACACGGGGGATCTTTGTCCTTGTAAATGTCAGCAGTGGTCATTCAGTCACGCCTCTCGGTGTCGTGCGGGGCCCGGGCTTTCAATCCTGGTGCTGACGGAGTCTTAGCGAGCGCCGCGTCGCGCCCCCCCCACCCCCTTCGCCACGCGCGAATACTTAGCAGTGGATCTCCGGCGTTCGCTCGACGCTGTGGGGGGGGGGGGGGGGGGGGGGGGGTCGTGCGGCGTCCGTGGACGACGTGACGGACTTGCCGCTGCCGATCGTCGCAATCACGGGCACCCCTCGACTCACGAGCGAATTGGGTTCCAGGAGGTGTCTGTTCGCGAGTCGATTTGCTCGCAAGGCCCGACTTGACTGCCGTCGATTCCAAACGCGTTGCGCGGCGTGTACACTAAACACGGGGAATGGCTCTAAAAGTTCGACAATTTCCTGTAGATGTGGACGCCACTGGCTCTTCTTACTACCGCCCTCAACACTCTCACCACTCTCACCACTCTTGCGCTTCACTACGGGGGTTGACGATGTTCGTGAACGGCAGAGAGAGAGAGCGTCGTAGTGAACCGCACAGCGGCGACGACAGCAGCAACAGACGATGGCGGCGGCCCAGGCAGGATATGCTGGGAATGCTGGGTAATAGCGACCACCACCGCCATCTATTGCACCGGCGGTTGAACTCGAGACGACTTCTCGGTCCCGAACAGCTGCAAGTGAACGTACGGAAGTCCGCAAGTCGGAGGAGAGGAGTCCCTGTGATTACAAAATAGAAAAGTCTGCCCGATGTAAAACGAACGAAAAACAACCAGCCCCCATTTTTCCTTTTACGCACACAAATATATATTTTTTCATCATCCCGCAACTTTGCACAGCTTTTCAGAATTTTAGTATTCGCTTGCGACGAGAATTCTCCCGTCTTGTGACGTCATCGTCGTCGCCGTCGTCGTCATCGTCGTTGCCGTCATCATCATCATCACCGTCGTTATGGTCATGGACATCATGGTCATCACGGTCATCATCGTCACCATCATGGTCGTCGTCATCATCTCATCACGGTCATCATTATGGTCATCGTCACCATCATGGTCATCGTCGTCACCATCGTCATCATCATCATCGTCGTCATCATCGTCGTCGTCATCGTCACCATCGTCATCATGGTCATCGTCGTCATCGTCGTCGTCATCGTCATCATCGTCGTCATCATCATGGTCATCATCATGGTCATCATCATGGTCATCGTCATCATCGTCGTCATCATCATGGTCATCATCATCGTCATCATCGTCATCATCATGGTCATCGTCACCATCGTCATCATCGTCATCATCATGGTCATCGTCATCATCGTCGTCATCATCATCATGGTCATCATCATGGTCATCGTCACCATGGTCATCGTCACCATCGTCATCGTCGTCACCGTTGTCATCGTCATCATCATGGTCATCATCATCATCGTCATCGTCGTCACCATTGTCATCGTCATCATCATGGTCATCGTCACCATCGTCATCATCATGGTCATCGTCATCATCATGGTCATCATCATCATCGTCACCATCGTCATCACGGTCATCATCATCATCGTCACCATCGTCATCATGGTCATCGTCGTCACCGTCGTCATCGTCATCTCGGCCGCGGCCCCTGTTGGCTCGCTCCTCTTCTTTGGAGATTCCCGCGCAGCGTTGCCGCGGCTTTTCCGCCCCCCCACCCCACCCCGGTGAGTTACAAAAATATCGCGACCTCTCCGCCTCTCTCTGCGTCCGTGTGTCCGTCTCCGCGTCTCCGTTCTCCGTAGATTTCGTAGTAAAGTAGTACAAAAGAAAAAACGAACGACAAAAAAATAAACCCGCGAGACACGTCCGCCGGGAATACCTCGACCGCCACCGCCATCGCGTTCGCACGCAACTCCATTCATTCATTCATTCACCCACTCATCAATTCATTCACGAATTCATTCACTCGTGCGACAACCTCGCCCCCCCCCCCCCTCCCGAGCAGCCATGTCCCGTTCTCAGAAAGTTTCGCCGATTGTCCGACCGGCACCACGCTTCATGTGAGGTATGATCCATTATCAACCACAGTAAATCTTCCGTTTTTCTAGAAAGTTAAGAAAAACAAAAATGTCAAAAAGATGCGGAGAGGCTGTCTCACGGTCCTGTCTTTCAGTTTCCCCACGGGGGGTGACAGACTTGCGCTCCCCCCCCCCCCCCCCCCCCCGGCCAACCTTTGAACGTGACAGGCGCCCACGCCGGGAGACGCTGAGGGCCGAGCGTTCCATCGATTGCGGAGATTTCTCGCTGGATTCCGAGTTGTCGCGTGGCCACGTTGGTGCAAACTATTTTTTTAAAGTTTCGTTTTTTTTCCCATCTTCACCCCTCCCTCCGCCCACCGCCCCCCTTCCTCCTCCCCCGCCCGCGGCGCGACTTCCGGACAAAATCTTTGAACCAACGGAGGAGCAAAAAAATATATATATAGGAAAATCGAATCTCACACACGCGGGTTCCTGGGGCGGAGAAGGGCTTCAAGTATTTTCTCGAGATTCATTTTCCCCCGCGGAGTTTTTCGTTTTCCCCGTTTCCCTTGCCCATCGTTCCTCGCCACGGCTTCCCGTCGGTTTCGCTTGCCGTCGACGGCAAGGCCCTCCTGTTCTCACGTAACCGGGCCGACGGCGGCGGTCGTAACCACAACAACGGCGGTCGTAGCCGCGACGACGGCGCTGGTCGTAGACACGGCGACACGGAAGCTGCCCCCTTCCCTCGCTCCCCCCCCCCAGCCTCCCCCATCCTCTCTCGCTCTGAGGGGATCAAGTCGTCGTCGTGGAGACAGACTCTGACGGAACGACGGACGGCGGCGACGTCGTCGTCGAACTTGTCGACGACGTTGACGACGTTACGGTCCGTGCCGGCGCCGTCCCGTCATCGCCACCCCCCTCCCGCCGCGCGTCCGTCGCCAAACCCGGTGACGGCTCCCCGTCGGCGGGCTTCACCGCGGGCATCTCACCGTCGCCGGGCGAGCGAGCGGCCGTCTCGTCGTCCGCCCCCTTCTCCATCTCCTCCTCCTCCTCATCGCCCTCCTCCATCGCCTCCTCCTCCTCCTCTCCCCGCTCCGCCGTCACCGCATCCGCCTCCACCTTGACGTCCTCCGTCGAGGCGACGCCGGAAGGTTCGTCGGCGCTCTCGACGGCGGCGGTGGCGGCCATGGGCAATGATGCGGTGGAGGCGTCGCGGCCGCGCGCTGCCGCGCCGGTAGCTGCGGTGCCGTTGCCGGTCCTGTGGTTCGCGGCGACGCCGTTGGTGTAGGCGGTGGTCGTGGTGGCGGCGGCGGCGACGACGGCGCGGGGCGGCGGCGGTGACAGCGGCGTCTCCTCGTCCGGTCCGGCGTGCGCGTTGGTGCCGTTGTGTGGCGCTGCGGGTGCTGGGCCTGAGACGCACACACACGCACGCACACGCACGCACACGCACGCACACGCATGTACGCACACGGACCGGGGCGGCAACGTCAGTGAGCATGTGTGGTGAGTGCGGACCGAGCGCGGTGAGTGCGAGTGAGTGCCGAGTGTGACTTTTGTTGCATCGCTAAATATTTCCATTCGCATTTATGATTATTATTCGCATTTTTAGTAGTAGTAGTGTTATTATTAAATATACAACCGCCAAGGTTGTGCTCGAATCTCCACGCACGTCGGGATCGTCTCCACAACAGTTACCGCGAGCCACCCCCCACAAACCCCTCCTCTGTCTGTGTGTCGTGTCTGCGTGTCGTGTTTGTGTGTCGTGTTTGTGTGTCGTGTCTGTGTTTCGTGTCCGCGTGTGTCGTGTGTCATGTGTGGTGTTTGTGTGTGTCGTGTGTGTCATGTGTGGTGTTTGTGTGTGTCGTGTCTGCGTGTCGTGTGGTGTTTGTGTGTGTCGTGTTTGTGTGCGTGTTGTGTGCGTGTTGTGTGCGTGTTGTGTGCGTGCCGTGTTTGTCCTTGTAAAGGTCTCACCCCCAGTGCCCCCAACTGGACATCTGTGAAAAAAAAGAGCTTCGAAGCTCATCGGATTCCTCCTTCAGTCTAAACACAATATTCCGATTCTGATCCCACGCTCGTCATGCTGACCCCTCGACCTGCCGCCCCCCACCCCCCGCCCCCCTCTGACCTACGTACTCCCACGTCTGATTATTTTAATTCTCACTCGTTTACGACAGCACCAAACAACCAACAACAAGAAACACCAAACAAGCACCCGACAACAAACAAACGACAACAAAACATCCAAAAACGCTTGCCGAGGGCTCGCGGCGACGTCGACAACGGCGGCGGCAGTGGCGGCGACGTTGGGGGCGGCGCGAGGCGTGCGTGCACCCGCGGGGGCCCCTCTGCGTCGGGAGGGGCGGCCGCACCCCGCGGTGGCGACGGCTGCCGCTCGGCCTTGATGACGAGCGAGGGGAAGGCGTAGGGGCCCGACAGCGCGTCCGTGCGCAGCGTCAGCGTGAGCGGCCCCGGCGACGGCAGGCACGTGGCCCCCTCGCACTCGTCCAGCAGACGGTCCATGTAGTCCCTGGCAATGGGGGGGGGGGGGGGGGGCGGCCCAGATTAACCCAAATCTAAACTATTCTTATTTTTCTTAGGTTTTTTCGGTAAAGTCACGTAGGTCAAAAATTTTAATTAATAAAAGTAAAATAGAAATGAAATAAAAATCACGACGTTTCGGAGGCAACACAAGCTTCCGTCTTCAGGTGGAACCGTCACATCACGATACAGCTGTATCACTTGATATCACTTGATACAGCTATCGTGCTGTGACGGTTCCACCTGAAGACGGAAGCTTGTGTTGCCTCCGAAACGTCATGATTTTTATTTCATCTCTATATTACTTTTATTAATTTACATTTTTTACCTACGTGACTTTACCGAAAAAAACCTAAGCATATGAATCCTTGCAGTCACGAAAGCTTCAAATCTAGAATTATTCTTATTTTACCAGGTAAGGCCCACCGAGCTATTTAGCTCTTTTTCAGGAGGAACCTGGCTGGCGCGAGTGATAGCTCAACCAAGTGGCTCATCGTGTGGGCATTTATGGCAGTACTCTGAGCGCGTGACGTTGATTCTAAATGTGGAGGGTAAAAAACCGGAGAACCCGGAGAAAAATCCACATGACCACCACGGGGAGAGAGAGAGAGACACGCAGACTCCAAATACACAGCAGCAGGCGTCAGGGATCGGAATCGAAGCCACGACCTCCTGAACACCGAGTGAGGGAGAGTGAGTGAGCCGGAGAGTGAGTGTTTGAGTGGGTCTGTGGACAAGTGAGTGAGCAGGTAGGCTGGTGGGCGAGTGAGCTGGTGGGCGAGTGAGTTAGTGGGCGAGTGAGCTGGTGGGCGAGTGAGTTAGTGGGCTGGCCAACCGGTGGGCGAGCGAGCCTGTGAGTGAGTGAGTGAGCGAGCGAGTGGGTCGGTGGGCCGGCGAGTGAGCTGGGGGGCGAGTGAGCTGGGGGGCGAGTGAGCTGGTGGGCGAGTGAGTTAGTGGGCGAGTGAGCTGGGGGGCGAGTGAGCTGGTGGGCCGGCCAACCTGCGGGTGAGCGAGCCTGTGAGTGAGTGAGTGAGCGAGCGAGCGGGTGGGTGGGCTGGCGAGTGAGCTGGTGGGCGAGTGAGCTGGGGGGCGAGTGAGCTGGTGGGCCGGCTAACCTGCGGGTGAGCGAGCCTGTGAGTGAGTGAGTGAGTGGGTCGGTGGGCCGGCGAGTGAGCTGGTGGGCGAGTGAGCTGGTGGGTGAGTGAGTTCGTGGGCCGGCCAACCGGTGGGCGAGCGAGCCTGTGAGTGAGTGAGTGAGTGAGCGAGCGGGTGGGTGGGCTGGCGAGTGAGCTGGTGGGCGAGTGAGCTGGTGGGCGAGTGAGTTAGTGGGCCGGCCAACCGGTGGGCGAGCGAGCCGGTGTGTGAATGAGTGAGCGGGTCGGTGGGTGAGTAAATGGGCCGGCGGGTGAGCGAGCCTGTGAGCGAGTGAGTAAGTGAGCGGGTCGGTGAGCGAGCGAGCAGGTGACCGAGTGAGTGAGTGAGCGGGTCGGTGGGCGAGTGAGTAATTGGGCCGGCGGGCGAGCGGCCGAGCGGGTGAATGAGTGGGCGGGTCGGGAGGTGAGTAAATGGGCCGGCGGGTGAGCGAGTGAGTGAGTCGGCGGCTCGGTGAGCGAGCGAGCGAGCAGGTGAGCGAGTGAGTAAGTGAGCGGGTTTGGTGGGCGAGTGAGTGATTGTGCCGGCGGGCGGGCGGGCGAGCGGGTGGACGTGGGGGTCCTCACGTGACGCCGGGGTGCAGGCTGTACTTCTTCTTGCTCAGCCGGTGCTGCCTGGCAAAGAAGTCGTGGCGCTCCGACTTCTTCCACATGTAGTAGAAGGCCACGCACTCGCCCACGCTGCGCGAGCGAACCTGCACCACGGGGGGGGGCACCGGGGTCACGGCATGGGGGGGGGGGGGTTCAAAGGAGGGGGTTCAGAGGGGGTTCAAATGGGGGGGGGGTTCAGAGGAAGGGGTTCAGAGGGGGTTCAAATGGGGGGTGGGGTTCAAAGGAGGGGGTTCAGAGGGGGTTCAAATGGGGGGGGGGTTCAGAGGAAGGGGTTCAGAGGGGGTTCAAATGGGGGGGGGGGTTAGAGGAGGGGGTTCAAAGGGGGGGGGGGCAGATTCAGAGAAGGGGGGAGGGGTTCAGAGGAGGGGGGAGGGGTTCAGAGGAGGGGTTCAGAGAAGGGGGGGGGTTCAGAGGAGGGGGTTCTAAGGGGGGGGGTTCAGAGGAGGGGGGAGGGGTTCAAAGGGGGGGTGGGGTTCAGAGGAGGGGGTTCTAAGGAGGGGGGGGCAGGTCCTGGGCTCTCCAACCCCATGTAATTGAGGGGGGGGGCTGTGTTGTTGTTGTTATTGTCTGGTTGTGCTCTGGGGCTCTTGCCGCTGTTGCGTGCTCACGGCGCCGCCGCCACCGCCGCCAGCGCGCTCACCTTGTTGAGCTGTATCTGGAAGAAGTCCTTGCCGTACAGACGCAGGCCGTTCTCAAAGTCGCGGCACTCCTCCTCGCTCCAGCCCGTCTCCTCTGCGTGCCGCCACCACCACCACCACCCACCACACAAAGACAAAGATACCCCCCCGCCCCGTATAGCCTTAACAGACTGTTGGGGCAAGTGCTGTTAACGAGTATCAGCGCCTACGAAGGCCGGCACGGCACGCGAGGAGGGGGGGAAGGTGGGCGGCCAGCAACCATGCCCGGCCGCCTTTGTCTCCCGAGTGGCGATGTTTACTGCACACCGCACCAGGTACTCATTTGAGGCCGAGCCGACCTAGGGGAAGGCCCAGGACCGGTTCAGGTAATCGTCACCGGTGTTGGCCGTGAGCGGCAATCGAACTCGTTTCGACGGGTTCGCAGTGCAGCGCGCTACCTGCTACACTACTGCTCCCCACGTGACACACACACACACAAAGACCCCCCGTATAGCTTGGGGCAAGTGCTCTTAGCGAGCACCTACGAAGGCCGGCACAGTACATGAGGGGGTGGGTGGGTGGGTGGGTGGCCAACACCACGCCCGACCGCTGTGCCACCGACCCCCGCTCATATGAAGGCCCCTGCTCACACTGAGACAACCCCTACTCACACAGGACCCCCTACTCACACCGAGACGACCCCCTACTCACACCGAGACAACCCCTACTCACACTGAGACAACCCCTACTCACACTGAGACAACCCCTACTCACACCGAGACAACCCCTACTCACACCGAGACAACCCCTACTCACACTGAGACAACCCCTATTCACACTGAGACAACCCCTACTCACACCGAGACAACCCCTACTCACACCGAAACAACCCCTACTCACACCGAGACAACCCCTACTCACACCGAAACAACCCCTACTCACACCGAGACAACCCCTACTCACACCGAAACAACCCCTACTCACACCGAGACAACCCCTACTCACACCGAAACAACCCCTACTCACACTGAGATAACCCCTATTCACACTGAGACAACCCCTACTCACACCGAGACAACCCCTACTCACACTGAGACAACCCCTACTCACACTGAGACAACCCCTACTCACACTGAGACAACCCCTACTCACACCGAGACAACCCCTACTCACACCGAAACAACCCCTACTCACACTGAGATAACCCCTATTCACACTGAGACAACCCCTACTCACACCGAGACAACCCCTACTCACACTGAGACAACCCCTACTCACACTGAGATAACCCCTATTCACACTGAGACAACCCCTACTCACACCGAGACAACCCCTACTCACACTGAGACAACCCCTACTCACACTGAGACAACCCCTACTCACACCGAAACAACCCCTACTCACAGAGGACCCCCTACTCACACCGAGACAACCCCTACTCACACCGAAACAACCCCTACTCACAGAGGACCCCCTACTCACACCGAGACCCCTTACACACAGAGGACCCCCTACTCACACCGAGACCCCTGACTCAGACCAAGACACCCCCCTGCTCGCCCTAAGTAACCCTAGGGGAATCCCTAGCTCAGCCTGGGAGCCCAACACACCCCCCCCCCTATCCCCACCCCCCCCCACCCCCCCCCCACCCCCCCCACCTTTGACGGCGCGGTCGTTGGAGCGCATCTTGGCGAGTGCTCGGCGCGCTTCGTAGTTGCTCCTCATGAGCTCGTACAGAGCCTGGGGGGGGGGGGGGAGGAAGAGGAGGGAGAGAATGGGGGGGAGAGGGGGCGCAGAGGGTGGGCGGGAGAAAGGGGAGAGGGGGGAAGGGGGAGAATGGGGAGAATGGGGGGGATGGGGGGGGAGGGAGTTTAGGGGGGAGGGGGGGTGCAGCCAGGGGGAGGGGGGGGGAGGGGGCGTGAGTTTAGGGGGTAGAGGGGGTGCCAGACCCGGGGGGAGGGGGAGAGAGTTTAGGGGGGAGGGGGGACGCCGTCGGGGTGGTGCTCGCCAGGCCACCAGCCTCGTGTGCCACCGTGCCGGACTTCACCGTCAGGTGCTGCTGCTCGCTGACAGCACTTGCCCCTACAGCCGGTGTGGGCTATATGGGGGATCTTTGTAGACCTCCTGCCAGCGGTGAGTTCACGTGAAACCTCAAAGCGCACCTAGCCTGGCACGAGCGCCGTGGTGACGCCACCGCCACTTAGTGGCGGAAAGCGCTGCTGTTGCTCTTGTTGCTGTTGTATGTGGGCCTGTGCCGTGACCGACTGCCGGCAGGCAGCAAGTCTGGGACACTAGCAACCTCAATGTGCACCTAGCCTGGCACGAGCCACACAAAACATCCCCCATATAGCCTGTAACAGACTGTACGGGCAAGTGCTGTTAGCGAGCACCTATGAAGGCCGACACAGCACACGAGGGGGTGGGTGGCCAGCACAACGCCCGACCGCCTTTGTCTCCCCAGTGACGTTGTTTACACATCGCACCAGGTTACTCATTTGAGGCTGAGTCGACCCAAGACTGGTTTAGATAATCGTGACCGGTGTTGGTGGCTGTGATCGGGAATCGAACTCGAGTCGTCGGGTTCGTAGCACAGCGCTAACCGCGACACAACCGCTCCCTACTAGCCACACACACACACATATACGTGCGCGCGCACACAATTGCATCATTGTCATCGTCGCCACCACCACCACCACCAACACCACCGACACCACCGCCGCCACCACCAACACCACCACCAACACCACCGCCGCCACCACCACCGCCACCACCGACACCAACGCCGCCACCACCGCCACCACCAACACCACCGCCGCCACCACCGACACCTGCCGTCATCACCACCACCACCAACACCAACGCCACCACCAACGCCACCACCACCACCACCGACACCACCACCACCACCGCCGCCACCGACACCACCGCCGTCACCACCAACGCCACCACCACCACCACCACCGACACCACCACCACCACCGATACCACCACCACCACCACCGCCGCCACCACCGCCACCACCGACACCACCGCCGTCACCACCACCACCACCACCAACGCCACCACCACCACCACCGACACCACCACCACCACCACCGACACCACCACCACCACCACCGCCACCACCACCACCGACACCACCACCACCACGGCGCCCACCTGCTCGCGATCGCGCACGTGGTTGCCCTCAGGGATGGCGTGGAGGCCCCCGCCGCCCCCTCCCCCGACTCCCCCCCCGGGCCCTCCCCCCTCTCCCCCTCCCCCCTCTCCCCCGCCCCCTCCTCCTCCCCCCCCTTCTCCCCCACCCCCGTGATCGTCCCCCTCCCCGCCGGGCCTGGCGGCCTCGCGCAGGAATCCCTCCAGCTCGCCGTCGAGCAGCAGCGGGCACGGCCTCCACAGCAGCTGGTCCTCGCCCTCGTACGCTGGCGGGGGGGGGGGGTACGGGTTAGGTGATGGTAGCATGGGCTGGTGACATGGCGAGTGGGTTAGGTGATGGTAGTGGGGGCAGGCTGGCTACTGGGTTAGGTGATGGTAGTAGGGGCAGGCTGTCTACTGGGTTAGGTGATGGTAGTAGGGGCAGGCTGGCTACTGGGTTAGGTGATGGTAGTGGGGGCAGGCTGGCTACTGGGTTAGGTGATGGTAGTAGGGGCAGGCTGGCTACTGGGTTAGGTGATGGTAGTGGGGGCAGGCTGGCTACTGGGTTAGGTGATGGTAGTAGGGGCAGGCTGGCTACTGGGTTAGGTGATGGTAGTAGGGGCAGGCTGGCGAGCGGGTTAGAGGTTAGTCGTATTAGTGGCTGTCTGGCTATTGGGTTAGTGGTTAGTAGTAGTCATAGTCGTAGTTGTGGCTGGCTACTATGGGGAAAAGTTCGACTTCCAGTGCCAAGAAAGTGGTAGAGTGGCAGCCACCGCGCCGGTGCGTCTCGCCGATGCCGAGAGGGCCTCACCCTTCTCGCCGTCCTGGTAGCGGCAAATCCCCGTGGGCACCTCGGCCTGGTACATGGAGCCCACCATGATCTCCTGGCACCGGGGCGGGGGGGGGAGGAGGCAGAGTCGTGGCAAAACGATGACAACCCTCGATTCATGGGGACCTTTTTTGCTAGTTTCAAAGTATTGAAAATGATGAATCGGCTTTACCTTTCGGGGCAATAAAACAGGAGTTGTGTTCAGATGTTCAAAGAATCAAGCCGGTGTAGGGCCAGTCACTTTCAAGCCCGTGAAACCCCCCAAGGCACCCCCCCCCCGCAACCGCGACCTCCTGCCAAGCGAGCAGTCGACACTTTCAAGCGACCTCAACGCGCACCTGGCCTGGCGCAAGCGCTGCCGTGACGTCGCCGTGACGATGACCGCCAACTCTGGTCGACCTCGTAGCGGCGGCAGCGGCAAACTTTTAGGCTCGGCCATCGAACAAAAGACGGCGGTCGCCGCATCGCACAGTGCTTTCTGGTGCGCTTCTGCGGCCGTCTGGAACGCTCTCTTCCTTCCGGCATTAGGAAGCCACTCGGAGCTACGGCACTTTTAGATCATCATCGAGCTTGTACAAACTGCCCACCGCTTACATTAACATTGGCTGCTGATATTTGGGCAACGCCCATATCAAACCTTTATAAACAATTTACCTTTAGAAGCTAACCCCCTCTTCCTGATGACGAATGCTTGCGATGGAAACGTCGCAATTTTTTGTTTATTTGAACCTATCTACGCGACTTTACCGAAAGACCCAAAGAATACAAACTGACTTCTTCAAAACTGCTTGTTTGTTGTTGTGTTTAGTTTGTTGTCCTGGCCCCCGCACCTCCGATTAGCACGGTTGGCTATGTACTGTGCGAACGAAGATCAACGTGCGTGCACTCGTACTGTTGTCGGTTAGCGGCCAACTGCCATTGCCGCTGTCGTTGTCGTCAACTGGACATCTGTGAAACAGAGCTTCACAGCTCATCGGATTCCCCCGGTATAAATACATATTCTGATTGTGTTGCTTGTGTGCGAGGTGATTGAATGAAAATGAACGGACTGACCGCAGCTGGGGTGGGCCGGGGGAGGGGGGGAGCGGGGGAGGGGGGCGTGGGGGAGGGGGGCGCGGGGGTGCCTTCTTACTTTCTTCCAGTCGTCGGACGGCATGTAGTCCTCGTCGTCCTCCGACTCGGAGCTGCCCTTGTCTCCCTCACCCAGCAGAGCTCGCGCTGCCGACAGCAGCGCAGCGGGGGGAGTGCCCGGGTGGAGGGGGTGGAGGGGGTGGAGGGGGTGGAGGGGGGGAGAAGGCGCCACACGGTCACACGCGGTGCTACGCATTACGATTCACAGTGGACGCTCCGTACAGGAGGGTGCTTCGGTTCAACCTCTATGATCTCCTCTATGAGTTCGATGACCTCGATGACCTCCTCTATGACCTCCTCCATGACCTCGATTACCTCAATGACCAATGTGACCTTGATGACCTCCTGTGACCTCGATTGCCTCAATTACCTCCCTCTATGACCTCCTCTATGACACAGCTGGGCAAACTGCCCTTGGGACACGACATTTTCATTTTCGCTGCTCCACAACGAGATACAATCCCGTACTCGACCCGTTCTTATTTCCGTCGGACAATCCTAAACATCCACGAGGCGCTATCCGATTCGTCTATTCACAGCTCCCAGATATCCGCACGCAATTTGGATCAAAGGAATTTAAAACTTTTTCAACTATTTTTTTTATTTTACGAGGTAAGGCCCCACTGAGCTGCTATATACCTCTTTTTCAGAGGCAGGCCTGGCCACAAATGTTAGTTCAACGAAGTGGACTTATCATCATCATCGTGTGGAAATGTATAGCAGCAGCCAAACATTTCGATTTAAAGCTTTCGTGACTGCAGGGATTCATATTCTTGGTTCTTTCGGTAAAGTCACGTAGAATGGAAATAATAAAATAATAAAAATAGAACCAAGAAGAGCAGCCAAACAGTTTACATGAACGATGTTGATTCTAAATGTGAAGGGAAAAACTGGAGGACCCCGGAGAAAAATCCACGCGACCACAGGGGGAGAGAGAGAGACAGACACTCAAACTCCAAATATACAGCAGGCATCGTCAGGGTCGAACCCACTACCTACTGTATACCGGACGAGGTAGTTAACATCTCATAGCCACTGTGATGATGAGAGAGACGCACGCAAACTCCAAATATACAACAGGCATTGTCAGGGTCAGGATCGAACCCATGACCTCCTGTACACCAGGCGAGGTAGTTAACATCTCAGAGCCGCCACGGCACCCCCTGGCAGGACGCTCCTGAAAAATGAGCCACGAGACTCAGCGAGGCGCTCTTGGGTAAACAAACAAAACCACCAACAACTACGAGACGCATGACATCAATCAGTCCTAAGTGGCAGTCTCTGCCAATGTCCGGGTGCCGGCAACATCGGCCTGCAACCGCGGCACCCCGTCTGATGTGGCCGTCCCTTCTGATGTGGCCGCCCCGTCTGATGTGGCCGCCCCTTCTGATGTGGCCGCCCCGTTTGATGGTTGGGGGCGGGGGCGAGGCCCGAACATCGGGAACCACGCGGCGTCGCCGCCGCACCGGGCCCGGCCGGCTAGGCCGGCGGTACTCACAGCGCAGCGTCCGCGTCAGGAGGTCCGGCCGCTCGGCAGAACCGGCAAGGGGCACGAGGTCGTCGGCGGACGACTCGGTCTCCTCGCCCTCCTCCTCCATCTCCTCGCCCTCCTCCCCGGCCCGAGCCGCCGCCACCGCCGCCGCATCCTCCTCCTCCGCCTTCTCCCCCACGCCGTCAGCTTCCTGCCGGGGCTCCGCCTCTTCCTGCTCTGGCTCCTCCCCATCGACGCTGGGCCCCGCCTCAATGCCCGCCTGCGGGAGGTCGAACGGAACAAAGCGGGGGAGGCGGCGATGGTGCCGCGGTTAGGGCGCTGCGCTACCAACCCGGCTACGACCCGAGTTCGATTCCCGATCGCGGCCAACACACCAACGCCGGTGATGATTATCTGAACCGGTCCTGGGCCTCCCCAAGGTCGACTCAACCCCAAAATGAGTACCTGGTGCGGTGTGTAAACATCGCCAATGGGGAAACAAAGACGGCTGGGCATGGTGCTGGCCATTCCAACCCCTCGATGTTCACCAAATAGATTGAACATCTTAACAGCTCCTGTTTAATTGCCAGAAAGGGTAAAACAAAGGCCCCATAGCTACAACTCCATTGCCATCGGACACAAGTGTGGGGTTCATCTTCCTTTCCGGAGCACCTCATGAAGCCGGAGGAGACGCGTCGCTCAACAATGACGAAGGAGCCAATTCTTGAGTCGTCACCCGAGATGATTACGGGGCCCGGCGCGTGCCAAAAACAGAAGCCCACAGTCGACATTTGCCGGGAATAAATCGGTCCCCCCCCCCCCCCCCCTTTTTTCTCTTCTTTACCCCCCAACGGCAAAGCGATTTCAGCCAACACAAGAAAATCTGACCCCGGCGGCGGCGGCGGCATAGAAAGGTCGTGAAGTGTAAAAGGGGGTCGTGACCTTTCCGTCAGGTTTCTCCGACGGTTGCTGCTGCTGCGTCGGTCCCTCCTCCTCTTCCCGCTCTTCCGCCTCCTCCCCCTCCTCCTCCCCCTCCCCCTCCTCCTCGTGCGCGTCCGTGCCGTTACCCGCCGCGTTGGCCACGGGGACGGTGCTGCCGTAGCCGTAGAGAACCAGCAGCTGGTCCAGCGGCATCTCCCCCTCCTGCGCGGCAAGGCATGACACGACGGGGCACACACGCGTCACGCACACGTCACGCACGCGTCACGCACAACAACAGCAGCAACGGCCGCCGTTCACCGCCAAGTGGCGGTGACGTCACCACGGCACCTGTGCCAGGCCAAGTGCACTTTGAGGCCATCGGATGACGTGTCGAAGGCTCGGCTGTTGGCAGGGGGTCCACGGGACAGACCCACAGGTGCCATGGGTTGACTGACTGAGATGACTGGTGGATGCACCGTCTGTACTCCCCACTTTGCCAACTTGGCAGTACTTGGCAGTACACGGCGCACTCACACACACACGTGACATATTATACACACGAGCAAACGCACATGGTAGACACACAGCATACATTAGACACACGCGTCACACACAGCGCACCAAAAAATACGAACATCCCCCCCCCCCCCATATAGCCTTAACAGACTGTTGGGGCAAGTGCTGTTCGCGAGTAGCATCTATGAAGGCCGGCACGACACTCGACGGGTTGGGTGGCAAACACCACGCTCGGCCGCTTTTGTCTCCCGAGTAAGCGATGTTGTCTGAACCGGTCATGGGCCTCCACTAGATCGACTCAAAAGTGGTCAGGCGTGTGCCACAGTGCCGGCCTTCATAGGTGCTGCTGTTCGCTAACAGCACTTGCCCCAACAGTCTGTTAGAGAATACATGGGGGATCTTTGTCTTGGTCTACTTCATAGGCACTTTTGCTCGCGAACAGCACTTGCCCCCACATTCTCTTAGAGGCTACACTGGGGGGTGGGGGGTTGGGGGGGATCTCTATCGTGCCTTCTCCAGGTCGTTGATCTCGGACGTGAAGTCCGTGTCGCCCTCGAGCGCCTCCTCCTCGTCCAGCGTCCTCTCGTTGTCCACGTCGTGCAGCATCATCTCGGCCGTCACCTCGAAGTCCCGGTCCTCCCAGCCCACGCCGGCCGGAGCTACGGCGGCACCGCCTCCGCCAATGCCGCCTCCACCGCCTGCCACGGCGCGCGGAAGCGTTCACCGTCACCACCGATGACTACTACTAACAACGCGCGAGGTGATAACGCTGTTTTAAAAATCGACCTGTGTCTCAGAAATGGAAATTTATAGCGGCAACCAAATAACTCGAAACACGTGACGTCGATTCTAAATGCGGAGGGGAAAAACCGGAGGATGCGGAGAGAAATCCTACGCGACCACGGGGCGAGCAAGATGCAAACTCCAAATATACAGCAGCAGGCGTCAGGGGTCGGGATCGAACCCAAGACCTCCTGTATACCAGACGAGGTAGTTAACATCTCCTAGCCACCGTGGCACCCACAACCACTACACACCACACGGTGATACGACCACCACTCCCTGCCACCACTACCGCTAACCACCCCGTTGATAACGCACGTTGTGATACTAACGCCATTCTGCAGATGTCAAAAAGTAGACACGCAGTATCCGCCTCCTGCAGTCCATTCTCTAACCAAGGAGTCGCAACGCAACACGCCAGAGACGTCAAAGCGGATCCTTCACTCGCCTACGGGACGATCGGGAGGTGGGGGGGGGATGACAAACGTTGAAATAACAAGCTGTGTGCGCTGCGCGAGCATCATGTGGTGCGCTTGGGCTCACCCGAGCTGGCGATCCCATTTGAGCCCTGTCGCAGAAGAAGCACAACGCAAAACGGAGAGAGACGGAGCAACGTCAGACACAGCAGACGATGGCGACATCACCGTGCCACGACCGCGTGGTGTTATATTATTATATCAGATCACGGCGCGATATTGCATGCAACGTGACCAAGTGCCATTTCCGCGGAACGCGTTCTTTGTTGTATATAACGACGCGGGCGTGAGTCGGATATCGCGAGGCGATCGAGTGAACGGAACTGCAACGCCGTCGCGCGCGGTGGAAATAAGCGGTTCCAGCGCCTGCACTCGGCGTAGCGTTGTCGCGCGAGGCATCCAGATGCTGCAAGACGCTACCCCCCACGCGCACCTCGGTCTCCGTGTCATCGCGGCGTTGTCGCGTACCGCGCTCTGCTCCCCACATGATGTAATTATATATTAGATGGGGACTCCTCCCCCTCTACTTACGAACATTCGAACTTTCAGAGATACGAACTAACCTGGTCCGTATGTCCAGTTGACCGCTCGGACCGAGAGTTTTAAGAACAACCGCCGCACAACAGATGGCGGTCGTGGCATCTACATCTGCAGAACGTGAAGAACCAGTGGCATCTACATCTGCAGAACGTGAATAACCAGTGGCATCTACATCTGCAGAACATAAAGTACCAGTGGCATCTACATCTGCAGAACGTGAAGAACCAGTGGCATCTACATCTACAGAACGTGAAGAACCAGTGGCATCTACATCTACAGAACGTGATGAACCAGTGGCATCTATATCTACAGAACGTGAAGAACCAGTGGCATCTACAGAACGTGAAGAACCAGTGGCATCTACATCTGCAGAACATGAAGAACCAGTGGCATCTACATCTACAGAACGTGAAGCACCAGTGGCATCTATGTCTACAGGAGATTATACAACTTGTAAAGCCATTCCCCGTGTTTAGTGTACACGCCGCAAAACGCGTTTGGCATTGGCAGGAGTAAAGTTGGACTTACGAACAAATCGACTTACGAACGGACCTCTGGAACATAACGCGTTCGTAAGTAGAGGAGCCCCTGTAACGCGATTTTTCCATAATGCGGTGCTCCTCAGGAACGCAACTACTACTACTGCGCTACAGTAGAGAACAGTCTGTACGTACAGGGTGCAGCCCTTGGTCGATCCACTGCTGCATGAGGCGCTCCCCACGCCGTTCAGGGTCATTGGGAATTAATCGAACAAACTTATTTGGCGAAAGGAGGGGAACACAGTCGCGGGAACGTACAAGTACAGTACAATATGGACATGTTGGCTGCAATGCCCTCCTCTGTCCACAGCGTAGCACCGCAGCAGCCTACGTACACCGACGCAATTACATCTGCAACCAAACCGCTGCACCTTTGCCTGCCCGCGATTCAGGTCTGTTCACTCAATTAGCCACGCACACCTGTGGTTATATCACACCTTTTACTCGCCAATAACCTGTCAAAACACCCCTGTGCCTCTCCACGCTGACGGCTAACCCCATAGCCTCAGCGATACGAGTGCCACTCGTTGAAACGCAGCTTCACCTGTGCACATCAACGAGTATTTTTTTATTCTACCAGCTAAGACCCACTGAGCTATACATAGCTCTCTTTCAGCCCCAACCTGGGCATCATCACAAATGGTAAGCGGCTCATCACGTGGAAATCTATAGCAGCAGCCAAATACTCTAAACGCGCAATGTCGATTCTAAGTGTGGAGGGAGAAAACCGGAGGACCTGGAGAATAATCCACGCGACCACGGGGAGAGAGAGACACGCAAACTCCAAATATACAGCAGGCGTCAGGGTCGGGATCGAGCCAACGACCACCTGTATGTCAGGCGAGGTAGTTAACATCTCGCCACCGCGGCACCCCTGTGTTATGCTATATACTCAAAACACCCTTATCTGTGCGTGCACACCTGTAGCCAAAATACACCCCTGTAAGAGACACCCAGATCCATCTTAGTTGTTACTTTTCGTACACATGCATGTTGAACTTCTGTCACACCGTAAGTAGCTGACCGTGCTAATCGGAGGTGCCGGCGGGGGGGGGGGGAATGACAACAAACTAAACACAACAACAAATCAGTTCCAAATAAATGCGTTTGTCAATCTAAATGATTGAAAAGTGCACAGCTCTCCAGTGGCTTCCTAATATCGGAAAGGAAGAGCGTTCCAGACGGCCGCAGAAGCGCATCCGAAAGCGCCACGCGAGGCAGTGTTGACCCGTCTTTGTTCGATGGCTCCTGTCATGCTCTGTTGTACTGTTCATTGTCGTAACGCTTTTCATCTTTAACCGCCCATAATTCGAATTAACTACTAACAACAGTGCAACAGGACACAAATCCAGCAGTATCAACAGCACAAGCATCGAATAGCTGTGTAATAAAACCCATAATCACTGAACAAAAGTAAACTATTAAATTTCGATTTAAAGCTTTCGTGACTGCAGGGATTCATCTTCTTGGTTCTTTCGGTAAAGTCATGTAGAAGGGAAGTAATAAAATAATAAAAATAAAACATAATAAAATAAAATAATTCTCACGACGTTTCGGCTACAACGCAAGCAGCCTGAATACGGCTGCTTGCAAGCAGCCTGAATACGGCTGCTTGCGTTGTAGCCGAAACGTCGTGAGAATTATTTTATTTTATTATGTTTTATTTTTATTATTTTATTACTTCCCTTCTACATGACTTTACCGAAAGAACCAAGAAGATAAACTATTAAACTTAAACAATGTTTTTAGTTTATCTGATAAGGCCACACTGAGTCGCTACGTAACTCTTTTTCAGGAGCGACCTGGCTTTCACAAATGATAGTTCAACAAAGTGGGCTTATCGTCACGTGGAAATGTATAGCAGGCAAATACTCTAAAACGCGTGACGTTGAGTCTAAATGTGGAGGGAAAACCCGGAGAAACAGGAGAAAAATTCACGTGACCGCGAAGAGAGAGAGAGACACACGCAAACTTCAAAAAATGGAGGCATTTCCAGGGTCGGAATCGAACACATCACCTCCTGTATACCAGGCGAGGTAGTTAACATCTCCTAGCCACCGTGGCACCCACGGTGGTGAGAACAGTACCAGCAACACTATAACACAACAGCGCCTGTAACAAGACGACAAGAGTCAATTAAAAAAAGCATCAATCAACAACACGTCACACTTGATATCACACGGTCCCACGCTTAGACAAAAACGTCCTATAAAGGGGCCCCTCTGCTTACGAACGAGTTATGTTCCAGAGGTCTGTTCGTCAGTCGATTTGTTCGCAAGTTCAACTTTACTCCCGTTGATTACAAACACGTTGTACGGCGTGTACACTAAACACGGGGGATGGTTTTAAAAGTTGTATAATCTCCTGTAGACAGATGCCACTGGTTCTACACGTTCTGCAGATGTAGATGCCACTGGTTCTTCACGTTCTGTAGATGCCACTGGTTCTTCACGTTCTGCAAATGTAGATGCCACTGGTTATTCATGTTCTGCAGACGTAGATGCCACTGGTTCTTCATGTTCTGCAGATGTAGATGCCACGAGTTCTTCATGTTCTGCAGATGTAGATGCCACTAGTTATTCATGTTCTGCAGATGTAGATGCCACTGGTGCTTCACGTTCTGCAGATGTAGATGCCATTGGTGCTTCACGTTCTGCAGATGTAGATGCCACTGGTTCTTCATGTTCTGCAGATGTAGATGCCACTGGTTCTTCACGTTCTGCAGATGTAGATGCCACTGGTTCTTCACGTTCTGCAGATGTAGATGCCATTGGTTCTTCACGTTCTGCAGATGTAGATGCCACTGGTTCTTCATGTTCTGCAGATGTAGATGCCACTGGTTCTTCACGTTCTGCAGATGTAGATGCCATTGGTTCTTCACGTTCTGCAGATGTAGATGCCACTGGTTCTTCACGTTCTGCAGATGTAGATGCCACTGGTTCTTCACGTTCTGCAGATGTAGATGCCACTGGTGCTTCACGTTCTGCAGATGTAGATGCCATTGGTTCTTCATGTTCTGCAGATGTAGATGCCACTGGTTCTTCACGTTCTGCAGATGTAGATGCCATTGGTGCTTCACGTTCTGCAGATGTAGATGCCACTGGTTCTTCATGTTCTGCAGATGTAGATGCCACCACCGCCATCTGTTGCGTGGAGGTTGAACCTACGACTCTCGGTTTCGAACAGGCAAATGGACATCGACAGCTTTGTTCGTATCTCTAAAAGTTCGTAAGTCGAATGTTCGTAAGTAGAGGAGTCCCTGTAAATTCAAATTCTTCAAGGTCCGACGCACCAATCACGTGGACTTTACCTGGTAAGATAGTTTAATTTTATTTTCGTATTAAAAAAAAGTTATTAGTTTACTTTTCATATACTCTGCACTCCTATCGTGTTTTGTAATTGTTTGTCGTACCGTTCTGACCCCGTAGCCCTACTGTACATCTGTAAAAAAAATAGTTATATCGCTCATCGGATTCCTCCTAAAGTATAAATAAAGATGCTGATAATAATGAATCAACGACGCCACGCCACAAACTTAATTAACCATCAACTCTGCATGACCGCCAATACTTCCAAAAGCAGTGATACCAACACACACACACACCAATCAACGGCAATTAGATATGTAACGGAGAGGGCGCATTGTAACCGTGGCGAGATGTTAACTACCTCGCCTGGTATGCACAATGTCGTGGGTTCGATCCCGACCCTGACGATGCCTGCGGCTGTATATTTGGAGTTTGTGGTCGCGTGAATTTTTCTCTGGATCCTCCAGTTTTCCCCTCCACATTTAGAATCAATGTCACGCGTTTTGAGTTATTTGGCTGCTACAATAAATTTCCTAGTGATGATGATATGCCACTTAGTTGAGCTATCATTTGTGATAGCTAGGTTGCTTCGAAAAATAGCTACTATATAGGTCAGAGGGCCTTACCTGGTTAAATAAAAAAAATACTTTAGCATGGCTAAGTTTTCCCTCCACATTCAGAATCAACGTCACACGTTTGGAGTATCTGGCTGCTGCTATACATTTCCACATGTTAAGCCACTGTTGAGCTATCATTTGTGATAGCTAGGTTGTTTCGAAAAATAGCTACTATATAGGTCAGTGGAGCCTTACCTGGTAAAATAAAAAAACTTTTACATACCGACAGTTTCGTTTCTCCTCCATATATAGAATCACCTTTACGCGAGTATTCAGACTGCTATAAATGTCCACGTGATGATGATAAACCACGTTGGGATATAATTTGTGAAGCCAGGTCGCTTCTGGTAAAACGCGTGACAATTTCGCAGCCCAGTGGGGCGTTACCTGGTAAAAAAAATTGTAAATACTCTAGTAGTAAACAGACATCTTAGATTGCTTCCTCTTGGTCGACGTGAAGTTTGCGCGAACTATTGACAGTGACCTTAAGACTTAAATCAAAGTATTTACGGTCGCACCTCTGATTAAGCATGGTTGGCTACGTACGTACTCACACAGAGACCCACAGACTCACACAGAGATCCATAGACTCACACAGAAACCCATAGACTCACACAGAGACCCATGGACTCACAGAGACCCATGGACTCACAGAGACCAATAGACTCACAGAGACATAGACTCAGAGACCCATAGACTCACACAGAGACCCATAGACTCACACAGAGACCCATAGACTCAAACAAAGACCCACAGACTCACACAGACCCATAGACTCACAGAGACCCATAGACTCACACAGAGACCCATAAACTCACACAAGAGACCCATAGACTCACACAGAGACCCATAGACTCACACACAGACCCATAGACTCACACAGAGATCCACAGACTCATACTCACAGAGTCCCATAGACTCACACAGACCCATAGACTCACACAGACCCACAGACTCAAACAGAGACCCATAGACTCACACACAGACCCATAGACTCACACAGAGATCCACAGACTCATACTCACAGAGACCCATAGACTCACACAGAGACCCACAGACTCACACTTGACCCATAGACTCACAGAGACCCACAGACTCACACAGAGACCCAGACTCACAGAGACCCAGTTTGTTGTCCTTCCCTCCGCACCTCCGAATAGTAGTTGGCTACGTACGGTGCTAAAGAAGTCCAACATACGTACATAAATACATGACAAAAACCACAAATGCAGATTTGTTTTGTTGCAGGAACTTCTAATGCCGTTGTTTGCGTAACGTAGAGATTTATGTATATGGCTTGATCAACAGTGAGGCACACAAGACGACACTCCTCTGAATATTTGTTTAGTGGAGGAATCCGATGATCTGTAAAGCTCTTACCCCCCACCCCCCACCGTTCCGACCCACGAGCCATCTTCACAGAGCGTAGCCAAACTTAGATTTGGAGCCATACTCTTAGGTTGTTTCGGTAAAGTCACGTAGGTAAAAATAAGTAATAAAAATAAATAATAATAGAAATAAAATTATTAATAATTATTTTTATAATAGAAATAAAGTCATTTTTATTTATTTTCTTGTTTATTTTTTACCTACGTGACTTTACCGAAAACCCCTAAGAGTAGCCAAACTTGATTTGGAGCTTTCGCGACTGCAGGAATTACTCTGTGGTTCTTTTGTTAAAGTCACGTACAGTAGAAATAAAAAGATAATTAAGTAACAGCATGCGACGTTTCGAATGCAACACGAACAATCATCGTCGTCGCAGTCAGTTTAGTTGCACTCGAACAGCCTCGGCAAGGATTGGTGACGGCTTTAGTTTCAATGTTTAGTACGCGTTGTTTGTTATTCTTGTCCCGACGTTTTAGTCAACCCCCTACTGGAGGAGGTGGTGGTGGTGCATTAAAGAGCTTTACAGCGCTTCGGATTCCTCAAGCTTCCAAATCGTTACTCCAAATTGCGATGTTGCTCAGTAGGATCTTGCTGCCACGCTACCAAAGCAACAGCAGCAGCAGCGACGGCATTTAAGTAACAAGTTACACGAAGATGATATTACGTCAAAACTAAATTCCGGCTACTTTTTTTCCCGCTTCCCCGCGACGCGGATTTGGGGGGGGGGGAGAGTTCGTTCACGGACCCGCGCGGTCGTTCGCTCGCTCGAGGAAGGATGATAACAAGAAGCAGCGAGAAAGACGACGACGATGTGAGGGGGGATAGAGAGAGAGAGAGATGGAGGGGGGGGAGAGTCGAAGCGCCGAGCAAAAGTCTGCCCGGCGCCCTCACACCACCAGCAGCAGCAGCAGCACACCGCCTCACCTCCGCCATGTTGGTGACCCCCTTCACCCCGCGCATTGATTCACCCCCCCCCCCCCCCGCTGCCTAGCGCGGACGCTGATTGGTGGAGGCGGAACCCCCCCCCCCATCGCCGCCCTCCCGATTGGTCGGTTTGGCCGAAGCTCCGCCTTCGCACGCCTCGCTCGGCCAATAGAAAAGGGGCGAGGGAGGGGGCTCTCCGGCGCACGTGATCCGGGCAATCCACCTCAACCCCCCGCCACCAACTTCCACCCCCCCCACCCACCTCACCCCTCCCCTCCAACTCCCCCCACCCCTTCCACCTGACCCCCACCCCCCCACCAACCTCACCCCTCCCCTCCAACTCCCCCCACCCCTTCCACCTGACCCCCACCCCCCCCACCAACCTCACCCCTCCCCTCCAACTCCCCCCACCCCTTCCACCTGACCCCCCCCCACCCACCTCACCCCTCCCCTCCAACTCCCCCCACCCCTTCCACCTGACCTCTACCCCCCCCACCAACCTCACCCCTCCCCTCCAACTCCCCCCACCCCTTCCACCTGACCCCCCCCATCAACCTCACCCCTCCCCTCCAACTCCCCCCACCCCTTCCACCTGACCCCCACCCCCCCCACCAACCTCACACCTCCCCTCCAACTCCCCCCACCCCTTCCACCTCTACCCCCCCACCAACCTCACACCTCCCCTCCAACTCCCCCCACCCCTTCCACCTGACCCCCACCCCCCCACCCACCTCACCCCTCCCCTCCAACTCCCCCCACCCCTTCCACCTGACCCCCCCCCCCACCAACCTCACCCCTCCCCTCCAACTCCCCCCACCCCTTCCAACTGACCCCCACCCCCCCCACCCACCTCACCCCTCCCCTCCAACTCCCCCCACCACTTCCACCTGACCCCCCCCACCAACCCACCTCACCCCTCCCCTCCAACTCCCCCCACCCCTTCAACCTGACCCCCACCCCCCCCCACCAACCTCACCCCTCACCTCTAACCCCTCCAGCTCCCTCCCCCCCCCCCCCACATCCGTAGTTGGAAATGTAAATGAGGCGGGTGGACGCGAGTTGCCCGGATGTAGGATGAGTGAGTGGGTCACGTGGGTCACGGGGGCTGTGTGTGCACACCTGGGCTTAGGGGCCGTCCATAAATGACGTCACGGACCTATAGGGGGGGAGAGGGTGGTCAGACATTTGTGACGATATGTGACGAGGGGGGGGTTTGAGAAATGTGACGTCACATCAAAATGCGCAACTTTAAATAAATATAGACAACACGTTCTACTTAATTAAATAGACTTTTTTTAATAAATGTTTTCTCCTACAACATCAGAGTGCAGCGCCACATTAAATACGCACTGCAATGACAATAGTTTAAAGCGATTTGAAGCATGTTTTATTTTCAAAATGGAAATATGGTTTTGGGGGGGGGCAGAGCTTTGTCACGTCATATTTGAGGGGGGGTTGACTTTTTGTGACGCCGTGTGACGGGGGGGGGGGGTCAAAAATCGTCCAAAATCGCGTGAGGTCATTTATGGACGGCCCCTTACCTCAAAGTGCACCTGACCTGGCACAGGCGCCGTGGTGACGTCACCGAGTGGCGAATGGCGGCTATTGGTATTGGCGCAGGTTGACTCAGCCTCAAACGAGTACCTGGGTGTGGTGGGGTAAACATCGTCACAAGGGAGACAAAGGCGGCCGGGCGTGGTGATGGCCACCCACCCCCTGGTGTGCCGTGCCGGCCTTCATAGGTGCTCGCTAACAGCACTTGCCCCAACAGTCTGTCAAGGCTATACGGGGGATCTTTGTCTTTGTTGTGCACATCTATAGGTTGGCACAGTGGTGGTGCATCTGTCAGTCATCTCGGTCGGTCAACCCATGGCACCTGCTGGGTCTGTCCCGTGACCTCCTGCCAGCAGCGAGCCTTCGACACCACACGTGACGACCTCAACGTGCACCTAGCTTGGCACGAGCGCTGTGGTGACGTCAATAGAGAATCGCACGTCCAATTAGCACGGTTGGCTATGTACGGTGCGAAAGAAGTTCAACTTACAATGGCGGTGGCGTATTTGTTGCTATGTTTAATGTCTGATAGGTTTCATTATCGACAACTATATATTGAATTAACCTTATCAGTGTCGTATATCGTCAATTATCACCAACATTAACGGGCTTAGTACGTCGATAATTGCTAAGTGGAATAAGTTAAATACTGTAACTCCCATATTCACGAACATTCGACTTACGAACTTTCAGAGATACGAACAAATCAGGGTTGTACGTCCAGTTGCCTATTCGGACCGAGAATCGTAAGTTCAACTGTCGTGCAATAAACGGCGGTGGTGGCATCTACAGCTGCACCTACATCTACAGAACGTGAAGAACCAGTGGCATCTACATCTGCAGAACGTGAAGAACCAGTGGCATCTACATCTGCAGAACGTGAAGAACCAGTGGCATCTACATCTTCAGAACGTGAAGAACCAGTGGCATCTACATCTGCAGAACGTGAAGAATCAGTGGCATCTACATCTATAGAACGTGAAGAATCAGTGGCATCTACATCTACAGAACGTGAAGAATCAGTGGCATCTACATCTTCAGAACGTGAAGAACCAGTGGCATCTACATCTGCAAAACGTGAAGAACCAGTGGCATCTACATCTACAGAACGTGAAATACCAGTGGCATCTACATCTACAGAACATGAAGAACCAGTGGCATCTACATCTACAGAACGTGAAGAACCAGTGGCACCTACATCTACAGAACATGAAGAACCAGTGGCATCTACATCTGCAGAACGTGAAGAACCAGTGGCATCTGCAGAACATGAAGAACCAGTGGCATCTACATCTGCAGAACGTGAAGAACCAGTGACATCTACATCTGCAGAACGTGAATAACCAGTGGCATCTACATCTACAGAACGAGAAGAACCAGTGGCATCTACATCTAGAGGACGTGAAGAACCAGTGGCATCTACATCAGCAGAACGTGAAGAACCAGTGGCATCTACATCTGCAGAACGTGAAGAACCAGTGGCATCTACATCTGCAGAACGTGAAGAACCAGTGGCATCTACATCTGCAGAACGTGAGACTCACACAGAGACCCATAGACTCACACCACAGAGACCCATAGACTCACACCACAGAGACCCATAGACTCACACAGAAACCCATAGATTCACACCACAGAAACCCATAGACTCACACCACAGAGACCCATAGACTCACACCACAGAGACCCATAAACTCACACAGAGACTCATAGACTCACACCACAGAGACCCATAGACTCACACCACAGAGACCCATAGACTCACACCACAGAGACCCGTAGACTCACACAGAAACCCATAGACTCACACCACAGAGACTCATAGACTCACGCCACAGAGACCCATAGACTCACACCACAGAGACCCATAGACTCACATCACAGAGACCCATAGACTCACACCACAGAGACCCATAGACTCACACAGAGACTCACAAACTCACACCACAGAGACCCATAGACTCACACCACAGAGACCCATAGACTCACACAGAGACACATAGACTCACACCACAGAGACCCATAGACTCACACCACAGAGACCCATAGACTCACACCACAGAGACCCATAGACTCACACCACAGAGACCCATAGACTCATACAGAGACTCATAGACTCACACCACAGAGACCCATAGACTCACACCACAGAGACCCATAGACTCACACCACAGAGACCCATAGACTCACACCACAGATACCCATAGACTCATACCACAGAGACCCATAGACTCACACCACAGAGACCCATAGACTCACACCACAGAGACCCATAGACTCACACCACAGAGACCCATAGACTCACACCACAGAGACCCATAGACTCACACCACAGAGACCCATAGACTCACACAGAGACTCACAAACTCACCACAGAGACCCATAGACTCACACCACAGAGACCCATAGACTCACACAGAGACCCATAGACTTACACCACAGAGACCCATAGACTCACACCACAGAGACCAATAGACTCACACCACAGAGACCCATAGACTCACACAGAGACCCATTGACTTACACAGAGACTCACAAACTCACACCACAGAGACCCATAGACTCACACCACAGAGACCCATAGACTCACACAGAGACCCATAGACTCACTCCAGTAACCCAAATAACCTACCTCGTTCGTAAGTGGAGGAGTCCCCAACGCGCGATATTTTGACGCACGTGGTCTGTGCCCCGCCGAGACCAGAGCAATCGATCGCACACCATCCAACCATGGATTAAACTTCCAATGCCGCATATATTTTCTGTAATTAATCGTCAAATAAGCTTGGACGTTTTAAATGTTACCGATTTTCTGGAGGTGAAAAGCAGTAGAACAGTTGACAAGTGTTTTAGGCATCGGCGAGAAATAAAAGCGTATTAAAAGTATGTAAGGGGCCGTCCATAAATGATGTCACGCGATTTTGAAGATTTTTGACCCCCACCCCCCATCGTCACACGGCGTAACAAAAAGTCAGACCCCCCCCCCCTCAAATATGACGTCACAAAGCTCTGCCCCCCCCCCCCCAAAATAACATAAAACATGCTTCAAATATCTTTAAACTATTGAACTATTGTCATTGTAGTGTGTATTTAATGTGGCGCTGCACTCTGATGTTGTAGGAGAAAACATTTATTAAAAAAGTCTATTTAATTAAGTAGAACGTGTTGTCTATATTTATTTAAAGTTGCGCATTTTAATGTGACGTCACATTTCTCAACCCCCCCCCTCCCTCGTCACACATCGTCACAAATATCTGACCCCCCCCCCTAGGGGCGTGACGTCATTTATGGACGGCCCCAAAGACAAAGACGTCCCGCGTAGCCTGTAGGGCCACGTGCTGTTACTGTGGCACACGAGGGGGTGGGTGGCCAGCACCACGCCTGGCCGCCTTTGTCTCCCCAGTGGCGATGTTTGGATAGGGTGGGTGGATGGGGTGGGTGGATAGGGTGGATAAAGTGGATGGGTGGGTGGGTTCAAGTTAATTGATTAGGTATAGCCCTGTGAGCCATTCGGCTCTTGAATCGGGTGCAACCGCAACAAACAAAAACATGAACAAGAAAACATCTTAGAGTGAATATGTGACTATGTGCAAAAAGAAAATCCAAGAAAAGACAGCAAAATATTGCAGAAAAAGCACCGCACACCAACGCTGTGTGCACAAATCCCAGTGGGATGCAAGTCAAACAACAATAACCACAAGATAACTTAGATTAAGGCCATTAGTCTTACTCCGTAGTACAACAAACAAACATGGCCAAACCAGTAAACTTTTCAAAATCACCAAAATAAAGCCATGAAAGCAATGAAACAGTGATCATAGGAACTGTGACGGAATTTTCACAATAACTGACATAAAAAACATGTACCACCAAAACCCTGGATGGGCGAAGTTGTGGGTGGGTGGGTGGGCGGAGTGATGTATCGTGACGAGTGAAGTTGATTGGTTTCAGCTCATTAACGTGCACGCGCATTTATTTCATTACTATTGTGGTATCTGCTGCTCTCCGTGTCAAAAGCCACGTGTAAAAAAAATTATGATAAGCATCCGCTAAAGAAACAAATTAATAATTACTCTTTGGGTCTTTCGGTAAAGTCACGTAGATAGAAAACCAAAAAAACTACAAATTAAAATTATCAAATAAAAAATTAAATAATAAAAAAGAACCAGGAATAATGACAATTGTCTGTGGGCGGGGGCATCCATCGACTCGGCATTGCGATTGGACTTGCCTCGCCCGCTCGCCTCTCCGCCCACGTGGTCCCTGAACTGCTGCAGCTGCTGCTGCTACTTTAGGGGTCGTAGCTGTTGCTGCTGGTGCTGTTGTTGTTGGTGGTGCTGTTGTTGGTGGTGCTGCTGTTGTTGGTGGTGCTGTTGCTGTAGTGGCTGTGGTTGTTGCTGCTGCTGTAGTCGCTGCTGCTGTAGTCGCTGTTGTTGTTGCTGCTGCTGCTGTAGTGGCTGTGGTTGTTGCTGCTGCTGTAGTTGCTGTTGTTGTTGGTGCTGCTGCTGTAATTGTTGTTAGTGCTGCTGCTGTAGTTGCTGTTGGTGGTGGTGCTGCTGTAGTTGTTGTTGGTGGTGGTGCTGCTGTAGTTGTTGTTGTTGGTGCTGCTGCTGTAGTTGTTGTTGGAGGTGCTTCTGCTGTAGTCGCTGCTGTTGTTGTTGGTGCTGCTGCTGTCATCTTGGTTGTCGTCGTCTCGCCCAAAGTAATCGCCGGAAGAGCAACGTAAGGCGGGTGGAAGGGTTGGGTGGTGGTCGAGTGATGGTGGTGATGGTGGTGATGATGATGGTCGAGTGAGTGGTGGTGATGGTGGTGATGATGGTGATGGTCGAGTGAGTGGTGGTGGTGATGATGGTGGTGGTGATGGTGGTGATGATGATGGTGATGGTCGAGTGATGGTGGTGATGGTGGTGGTGATGGTGGTGATGGTGATGGTGGTGATGATGATGGTGATGGTGGTGATTATGATGGTGATGGTCGAGTGATGGTGGTGATGGTGGTGGTGATGGTGATGATGGTCGAGTGAGTGGTGGTGATGGTGGTGATGATGATGGTGATGGTCGAGTGAGTGGTGGTGATGATGGTGATGGTCGAGTGATGGTGGTTGATGGTGGTGGTGATGGTGGCGGTGGTTTATGTAGCACCTCCTCTGTGTGATGTGCAGCTATAGAGCGGACGTCTGTACGGTTACCACCATCATCATCATAATAATAATTATATCATAACGATCGTCACATCATCGTCACATCGTCATCATCATCATAACAGTCGCCACCTCTCGTGAATTCTGTTTGCGTGAAGGGCAAATGAAAGGTCGGACATCAACCGTACAGTATCATGGGTCACCATTGAACATCGTGGTCATCACCACCACCATCACCTTCACCACCTTCACCATCATCATCACCACCTTCACTATCACCACCATCACCTTCATCACCATCATCACCTTCATCACCATCATCACCACCATCACCTTCACCACCTTCACCATCATCATCACCACCTTCACTATCACCACCATCACCTTCATCACCATCATCACCACCACCATCACCTTCATCACCATCACCACCACCACCTTCGCCATCATCATCACCTTCACCATTATCATCACCTTCACTATCACCACCATCACCACCTTCATCACCATCATCACCACCATCATCACCACCATCACCTTCACTATCATCACCACCATCACCTTCACCATCATCACGACCATCAGCTTCATCACCACCATCACATCACCTTCACCATCATCACGACCATCACCTTCATCACCACCATCACCTTCACTATCATCACCACCATCACCTTCACCATCAACATACACAGCACGGTTGACTACGTACGGTGCGAAAGAAGTTCAGCATGCATTGTGTTTGCGGATGTTTGTGTACGTCTGCGCGTGCCCCTACGTGGGTGTGTGTCACACTCCGCTGCTGCTGCTGTGATTTTGTCTTACCGCGTTCCGTATCGCCTCGTGTCCCTCCGCTCTGTGTGTGTGTGTGTCACGTGTGTGTGTGTGTGTGTCTGAACATCAGCGCTGGGAAGACAAAGACGCCCGGGTGTGGGGCTGTGTTGACTAACCCACCTATCGCGTGACCAATGACCCACGTGTGACATCGCCCCCTTCCCCCCCCGCCTCTCTCCCCATCCCCACTCCAGCATGGGGCTCTTCATGTCCCGAGCTCTGGAGGACAACATGAAGCGGCAGCAGGAGTTCATGCTGCTCAACCAGCGGCTGCAGGTTCACATCGTCGCTCTTCGCATCGTCGACATTTCTCACCCGGCGCCGGGTTTAGCAGCCGGCGGCGTTCGCGACCGACGTTAGCCACAGCGGAGGTTTCCGTTGGGTCGCATCCAGAGGTCGCAACCGGGTACCCGATACCCGTACCCTACCAGATACCCGGCTACCCGTTTGCGACCCTGGTGCGGCCGGGTACGGGTACGGATAGGCCGTGAGTCACTGGTGAGTCACCGTTTGTCACTCATTTCCCAACGTCTTGTCTCTTCTCACAATTCAAGTTCCTAGAATCAACCCACCCGCGCCTGCAACATGGCTTCATCCCAGAGGTCGCAATCAGGTACCCAATACCCGTACCCGGCTGGGTACGGGTAGGGTACGGGTACGGCCGGGTACGGGTACCCGTTTGCGACCCTGGTGCGGCCGGATACGGGTATGGAATCAAAACCCGTTTGCGACCTCTGGTTGCATCGCGTGAACGTAACTTGCGTCGTTAAACCCGGCCACCGTTAAACCCGCCATCGCTAAGGGTTTGTCATGCAAACAAAACGTGCCAATTGTTTTATTTAACATTTTTTTACCAGGTAAGGCCCCCCACCTCTGGACCTCTGTGTAGCGCCTTTCTCAGAAGCGAGCTGGAGCCATCGCGAACGATGGCTCCAGTGCGGAGCGGGCGGCTTGTCGTCATCGACTTACAGCGGCGTGGTGACGTCGTCATCGACTTGTAGCGGCGTGGTGACGTCGTCATCGACTTACAGCGGCGTGGTGACGTCGTCATCGACTTGTAGTGGCGTGGTGACGTCGTCATCGACTTGTAGCGGCGTGGTGACGTCGTCATCGACTTGTAGCGGCGTGGTGACGTCGAGTCTAGATGTGGAGGGGCGGGGGGGGGGGCGGTAGCGGAAGTGTGTCGCCAATCTGCACTATGGACCCGACAAACCCGAGGACTGATTTCCCACTCAGGCAACTTCGCTGGTGGTTGTTTGTCTGAACCCCCCCCCCCACCACCCACCTGGGCTTCCCCCTGGGTGACTTGGCCTTGGAAAATGAGTAGCCTGGTTCGGTGTGTAAACATCGGCACTGGGGAGACAAAGGCGGCCGGGCGTGGTGCTGGCTTCCAACCCCCCCCCCCCGCCCCGTCATCACGTGCCAGAGTGCCGGTCTACGTAGGTGCTGCTACTCGCTAACAGCACTTGCCCCGACAGTCTGTTAGAGGCTACATGGGGGATCTTTGTCTTTGTCTCCTTCATAGGTGCTGCTGCTACTCGCTAACAGCACTTGCCCCTACAGTCTGTTAGAGGCTACATGGGGGATCTTTGTCTTTGTCTCCTTCATAGGTGCTGCTGCTACTCGCTAACAGCACTTGCCCCAACAGTCTGTTGTGGCTATGCCCAAACCTGTCAACCCCTTATCAGTGCCGACCTTATTAGAGACCAACTCAGATCTTGTTAGTCACCCCGTGCCCCTTATACATCTCAACGTTCATCCTACAAAGTCCCATCACGAGGAGAGAAACACAAACAAATAGACACGAAACATTTTGGTTGCCCCAATTGAAACGACTGTAACGCCGCCGTACGCGCTCGAAAACTCAATCTCGCTGTGAAAGAATACGGGGTTAAACCGCGTAGGCCGCGGCAGCTACGGAAAACGGGGAAGAATCATTTCTATCAGAATTACAATCCTCATTTCGACTGGAGGAATCCGACGGGCTATGGAGTTCTTTATCGCAATCCCATGGCCACCCGCTGGGTCTGTCCCGTGACCTCCTGCCAGCCAGCCCGCCAGCCCGCCAGCCTGGCAGCCAGCGAGAGCCTTCGACACTTCGCGCGACAGCCTCGGGAGTGCACCTAGCCCGGCACGAGCGCCGTGGTTGCGCTGAGGGCACTCGCCCCAACAGAGTCTTTCTTCATTATTGACAACTTGCAGCTCAGCACACGGCAGATGCCTGCGCAGCGCGACTCACGACCTCCTCTTGATACCAAGATCCAGGATGGTCATGTCTATGCGCCGCTTCTCGGTGGCAGCCCCAACATTCTGGAACAATATCCCTCTGCACATTCGCAGCATCACCTCAATCGCCTCCTTCAAGAGACACTTAAAAACTCACCTCTACAATCATGCTTTTGAGCGACTCTGAGCTTGGCTCCGCGCCTCTGAGTTGCGGCCACTACGTCCGCAAATTTGCACGCGTTACAAATTGAACTATTATTATTAATGAGTGGGGGCGGCGGTGTCTCCCGTCGTGTGTGCCGCAGATGGAGCGTCAGATGGCCATGCAGAGCCAGATGCAGCTGCGGCAGATGGCCATGCAGCTCGCCGGCTCCCGCGAGTTCTTCAAATACTACGCCTCCTTCTACAGCCTGGCCACCGTCACGCTCACCGCGGGGTGGGACACTGGCGGCCTGGTGGTGGCGCTGGTCGTGGTCGTGGTGGTGGTTGTTGTGGTGGTGCTGGTGGTAATGATGTTTGATGGTGCTGGTGGTGATTTTGGTGGTGCTGGTGGTGATTGTGGTGGTGCTGGTGGTGATGATGTTTGGTGCTGGTGGTGATTGTGGTGGTGCTGGTGGTGATGATGTTTGATGGTGCTAGTGGTGATTGTGGTGGTGCTGGTGGTGATGATGTTTGATGGTGCTGGTGGTGGTGCTGGTGGTGATGATGTTTGATTGTGGTGGTGGTGATTGTGGTGGTGCTGGTGGTGATGATGTTTGATGGTGCTGGTGGTGATTGTGGTGGTGCTGGTGGTGATGATGTTTGATGGTGCTGGTGGTGATTGTGGTGGTGCTGGTGGTGATGTTTGATGGTGCTGGTGGTGGTGCTGGTGGTGATGATGTTTGATGGTGCTGGTGGTGATTGTGGTGGTGCTGGTGGTGATGATGTTTGATGGTGCTGGTGGTGGTGCTGGTGGTGATTGTGGTGGTGCTGGTGGTGATGATGTTTGGTGCTGGTGGTGATTGTGGTGGTGCTGGTGGTGATGATGTTTGATGGTGCTAGTGGTGATTGTGGTGGTGCTGGTGGTGATGATGTTTGATGGTGCTGGTGGTGGTGCTGGTGGTGATGATGTTTGATTGTGGTGGTGGTGATTGTGGTGGTGCTGGTGGTGATGATGTTTGATGGTGCTGGTGGTGATTGTGGTGGTGCTGGTGGTGATGATGTTTGATGGTGCTGGTGGTGATTGTGGTGGTGCTGGTGGTGATGTTTGATGGTGCTGGTGGTGGTGCTGGTGGTGATGATGTTTGATGGTGCTGGTGGTGATTGTGGTGGTGCTGGTGGTGATGATGTTTGATGGTGCTGGTGGTGATTGTGGTGGTGCTGGTGGTGATGTTTGATGGTGCTGGTGGTGGTGCTGGTGGTGATGATGTTTGATGGTGCTGGTGGTGATTGTGGTGGTGCTGGTGGTGATGTTTGATGGTGCTGGTGGTGGTGCTGGTGGTGATTGTGGTGGTGGTGATTGTGGTGGTGCTGGTGGTGATGATGTTTGATGGTGCTGGTGGTGATTGTGGTGGTGGTGATTGTGGTGGTGCTGGTGGTGATGATGTTTGATGGTGCTGGTGGTGATTGTGGTGGTGCTGGTGATTTTGCTGATTGTGGTGGTGATTGTGGGGCTGGTGGTGGCTGTGGTGGTGCTGGTGGTAATTTCGGTGGTACTGGTGCTGATTGTGGTGGTACTGGTGGTGGTGGTTGTGGTGGTGGTGGTTGTGGTGGTGGTGGTTGTGGTGGTGGTGGTTGTGGTGGTGGTGGTTGTGGTGGTGGTGGTTGTGGTGGTGTGGGGAGCGGCAGGGCAGCGATTAGCGCACCACGGGTTCAATTCCCGCCAAGTGGCGGTGTCGTCACCGCCACTTCGTGGTGAACAGCGACGCCGAGTTTGTTCGATTTCCTTCTCACGACCAAGAACGGTGGCGGATATCTGAACCGGTCCTGGGCACTTCCCCTAGGTCGGCTCGGCCTTAAATGGGGTGTGGTATTGACCAACCCACCGGCTCGCGTGCCGTGCCGGCCTTCATCATTGGTGCCGCTCGCCAACAACTCGCGCCCTGAGAGTCCTGTCAACGGCTACGTGACGCACAAAGACAAAGATCCCCCGTGTAGCCTTCACAGACTGTAGGGGCAAGTGCTGTTAGCCAGCACCTATGAAGGCCGGCACGGCACGCCAGGGGATGGGTGGCCAGCACCACGCCCGGCCGCCTTTGTCTCCCCAGTGGCGATGTTTACTACACACCGCACCAGGTACTCATTTGAGGCTGAGTCGACCTAGGAGAGGCCCAAGACCGGTTCGAAAATAATCGTCACTGGGTGGTGTTGGTCGTGAGCGGGAATCGAACCCGGGTCGCTGGGTTTGCAGCACAGCGTAGCGCTAACCGCTACACCACCACTCCCCACATACGCACGCACAGACACACACACAGACACACACACGTGCGCGCGCGCGTGCTTCCTTGCCGTCCTGCCACCAGGTGCGTCAAAATTGCCACTTGAAAGGGGGTGGGTGGTGCGGGGGGGCCCTCATTAGCTTTGCAAAGGGCCCCCCCCTAAGTGGGGCTGCGGCAGAGAAAATGACAGCGCGAGTAATGGGCACGCGGGTTCGTTACGATCCCCCGGTGCCATCAGTGTGGCTGTGTCACTTACGGGCCTGTGAGTGTGTGAGTGTGTACGTGTCTCTGTGCGAGCTGACAGACTCACACAGAGACCCATAGACTCACATAGAAACCCATAGACTCACACACAGACCCATAGACTCACAGAGTGACCCATAGACTCGCACAGTGACCCATAGACTGACACAGTGACCCATAGACTCACACAGAAACCCATAGACTCACAGAGTGACCCATAGACTCACAGAGGCCCATAGACTCACAGAGTGACCCATAGACTCACAGAGTGACCCATAGACTCACAGAGTGACCCATAGACTCACAGAGTGACCCATAGACTCACAGAGTGACCCATAGACTCACAGAGTGACCCATAGACTCACAGAGTGACCCATAGACTCACAGAGTGACCCATAGACTCACAGAGTGACCCATAGACTCACACAGAGACCCATAGACTCACACAGAGACCCATAGACTCAGAGTGACCCATAGACTCGCAGAGGCCTATAGACTCAGTGACCCATAGACTCACATAGAAACCCATAGACTCACACAAAGACCCATAGACTCACAGAGTGACCCATAGACTCGCACAGTGACCCATAGACTCACACAGAAACCCATAGACTCACAGAGTGACCCATAGACTCACAGAGTGACCCATAGACTCACAGAGGCCCATAGACTCACAGAGTGACCCATAGACTCACAGAGTGACCCATAGACTCACACAGAGACCCATAGACTCACAGAGTGACCCATAGACTCACACAGAGACCCATAGACTCAGAGTGACCCATAGACTCGCAGAGGCCTATAGACTCAGTGACCCATAGACTCACACAGAAACCCATAGACTCACAGAGTGACCCATAGACTCACAGAGTGACCCATAGACTCACAGAGTGACCCATAGACTCACAGAGTGACCCATAGACTCACAGAGTGACCCATAGACTCACAGAGTGACCCATAGACTCACAGAGTGACCCATAGACTCACAGAGTGACCCATAGACTCACAGAGGCCCATAGACTCACAGAGTGACCCATAGACTCACAGAGTGACCCATAGACTCACAGAGGCCCATAGACTCGCACAGTGACCCATAGACTGACACAGTGACCCATAGACTGACACAGTGACCCATAGACTCACAGTGACCCATAGACTCACAGAGTGACCCATAGACTCACACAGACACCCATAGACTCGCACAGTGACCCATAGACTCGCACAGTGACCCATAGAATCGCACAGAGACCCATAGAATCGCACAGAGACCCATAGACTCGCAGAGACCCATAGACTCGCAGAGACCCATAGACTCGCAGAGACCCATAGACTCGCAGAGACCCATAGACTCGCAGAGACCCATAGACTCGCAGAGACCCATAGACTCGCAGAGACCCATAGACTCGCAGAGACCCATAGACTCGCAGAGACCCATAGACTCGCAGAGACCCATAGACTCACACAGAGACCCATAGACGCACAGAGACCCATAGACTCGCACAGAGACCCATAGACTCGCACAGAGACCCATAGACTCGCACAGAGACCCATAGACTCACAGAGACCCATAGACTCACAGTGACCCATAGACTCACACAGAAACCCATAGACTCGCACAGAGACCCATAGACTCGCACAGAGACCCATAGACTCGTACAGAGACCCATCGACTCGCACAGAGACCCATAGACTCGCACAGAGACCCAGAGAGGAGTCCGCGGTGTAACGCTGCGCCGTGCCGTTGCAGCGCCATGCGGAGCAAGCGGCCGGGCCTGCTGGTGCCGCTGGTTCCCCTGGGCTTCGTGTTGGCCTACCAGTACGACCGCGCCTACGGGAGCATGCTGCAGCGCATGAGGGGTACGCACGCACACACACGGACACACACACGGACACATGGACATAGATACACAACAACAACCGCCATTCGCCCCTAAGTGGCGGTGAAGTCACCACGACGCTTGTGCACCTTGAGGCCACGTGAAGTGTCGAACGCCCGCTGGCAGGAGGTCACGGGGCAGACCCAGGTGCCACGGGTCGACTAACTGAGATGACCGAGATGACTGGCTGATGCACCACCTGTGCCCCCTACTGTGCCAACTTACTGTGCTTTAGCCACCCGGTGCTCTGCTCGTTGTTGTGAGTGTCGCTCCTCCGCCCTCCATTGTTGTGTTGTTGGAGGGCGACTGCCTCCAACTGCCCAGTAGCGTCCTTCACGAGCCTCCTCCACAGAGCCCGATCTTGACACCGCTGGTACCAGTCATCGGCAAGTCCACTCGGCTCCACATACTCCTGTACCACATCACTCCATCTCTTCTCTAGCCCGTGCCGCGCCCGTTTAGCCCCCTCGATCCGGCCGAACAAAAGCTGTATAGGCATGCGGTGGCTGGGCATGCAGGCTACATGACCCAGCCAACGCAGCCTTGCCTGCCGGAAGAGCTCACCGATGGGACTTTGTCCAGCTCTTTCAAGGATATGTGAGCTCCTCACACAATCCAGCCTGATTAAACCCAAGATGGATCGTAGGCAGGCCAGCCTAAATGTTTCTCACCGGCGAAGATGTTCCATTAGGAGGGTCCACGTTCCACAAGCGTAGAGAAGGGAGGGAATGACTGTGGCTGAGAAGACCTGAAGCTTCATGCAGAGCGACAGACCAGGTAGCTTCCACACAGCGTTACACAACCGATGAAAAGAAAATGCCGCTCGACTTAATCGGAGTGAGGCCTCTGCTGTCAAACTGGAGCTGGTCATAAGCACACTGCCCAGGTATGGGAAACTCTACATTCTCTCCACACCTGCCCCATCACCAATTGGGAGTTGTGGGGGTGGAATGTCCGATGGTATAAAATACCCAGGCAGGTGCTTAGTTTTTAGTGGCAAGCTCCAGATTCAGCAGCAGCGCCTCCAACCCCTGAGTGAGCAGCAATTACCAGATCATCGGCATACATACCAAGTCGATGGTCAGTGGGCAGATCAGCTCCACGGTAGGTCCTGGTGTCAAGGACATGGGTCCCTATCCACTGTTCTGTCACTATGTAGTCCAGCAGATGGTCTTGCTTTGACCCGGCATGCATCTGTGATGTTGTGTGGATGCGCTGATGCCGGAACAGCGTGTTGGTAATTACAATCCCATGGGCTGCACAAAAATCTAGCAGCCTCCTACCGTTGTTATCGAGCTGATCTGGCCCATGCCTTCCAATCACTCCAGACCAGGTGCCAGCATCATGATCAACTCGGGCATTAAAGTCACCCAACAAGATGACTCTATCCCGAGGGGCCACTTTAGCCAGCACCTGTGACAGGCGGTCATAGAAGGCATTTGACTCATTGGCCTTGCCTGCATCCCTCCACGGATGTTCGTCTTCAGTGGGGGCATCAGTAACCACGACCACCACTCCTCGCCTCTGGTTAATGGGAAGGCGAGCCCACAGTAGCCTGGGGCTTACAGCTTCCCACACCTCACCATCATGCTCCCATGCCCACTTCATTATTTTGTTCAGAAGAAGAGCCACTCCCTGTTGTTTGGCAGTCTCCTGCCCCGAGTAGAGGACTGTCTACCCCTCATGGTGGCAGGAGCCAGAGCCGGGCCACCGGACCTCCTGAATAGCACAGAGATCCAGGCGATGTTTAAACACGACACACAGTTACACATAGTCACTGGCGGAGCCAGTAGGGGGGGTGGGGTGGCTTAGGGGAGGCCCAGGGCCGGTTCAGATAATCGTCACCGGGTGTTGGCTGTGATCGGGAATCGAACCCGGTTCACCAGGTTCGTAGCGCTGCGTAGCGCTAACCGCTACCACTACTGCTCCTCCCACAGATGTACACACGCACAGACACAGATACAGCACACAGACAAAGATTTCCCCCCCCCATATAGCCTTTCACAGACTGTTGGGGCAAGAGCTCCTACGAAGGCACCACACGAACACAGACAAAGTCGCAGGTACACGCACACACACACAGACACACACGTTGTGGCGATGCTGATTGGCCATGGCGGCTGTGCCCCCCCCCCCTTGCCCCCCCCCAGACGAAGCCGAGTGGCTCATGGACAAGGACGCGGGGCGCCTGCAGCTGCCCCACGGCCTGCCGACCTTCGAGGACGTGGAGAAGTGCCGGCGTGCCAACGTCAAGTTCCCGCCCGCGTCGGGATAAGGCGGCGCCATCGCCATCGCCACCGCCATCGCCCGCTCGTTAGGGGGGGGGGGGGATCTGCTCGTGAACGCGTGCGGTGCATTGTGGGTGGAGGCGATCGTAGAAACAGCTGTAGAATCATCAGCAGTAGCAGCACCCGTTAGCAGTCGCTGCAGTATCAGCAGTCGCAGCAGATGTCGGATCGTCTGTAGGATGAGCAGCTGTAGCAGCTGTAGCGGCAGCAGCAGCTGTAGCAGCAGCAGCTGTAGCAGCAGCAGCTGTAGCAGCAGCAGCTGTAGCAGCAGCAGCTGTAGCAGCAGCAGTAGCTGCAGCAGCTGCTGCTGTAGCAGCAGCAGTGCCCCCCTCCCCCTCTCTCCCTCCTTCTACCTCTGCCACTCGTGAACATCGTGGGGCAACCCCGTCCCGTTCCGTCCATTGCTCAGGTTTTGTCAGCCCCCCCCCCCCGCACCCCCCCGCACCCCCCCCCGCACCCCCCCCTGCACCTCCCCCCCGCACCCCCCCCGCACCTCCCCCTGCACCCCCCCCTGCACCTCCCCCGCACCCCCCCGCACCTCCCTGCCCCCCCCCGCACCCCCCCCTGCACCCCCCCTGCACCCCCCCCTGCACCCCCCCCGCACCCCCCCCCCTTACCCGGGCAAGATGAGGAGGGGGTGGTGGCATTGACCTCCTGACCGCCGTCACGATTGTAAGCGGATCGAGCGTGACACGTCGGAAGGTGGGGGGGTGGGGGTCTAGTGGGGGGGGGTGGGAGTCTAGTGGGGGGGGGGTCTAGTGGGGGGGGGGTGGGGTCTAGTGGGGGGGATGGGGTCTAGTGGGGGGGTGGTGATGTCGTGCCTTCTCGTCCTTGTAACTTCATCACAATAAACGCGCCCGAGGCAGCTCCGATCCGGTTGGTTTCCGCGCGTCATTCCCAGCGTGCGCCTCGGTTTGCCCTCCGTCACGCGCACGTGTGTGTGTGTGTGTGCTCACGTGCGTGTGCGTGTGTGTGAGTGTGTGTGCTCACGTGCGTGTGCGTGCGTGTGTGTGTGAGTGTGTGTGCTCACGTGCGTGTGCGTGCGTGTGAGTGTGTGTGAGTGAGTGTGTGTGCGTGTGTGTGCGTGTGTGTGCGTGTGTGTGTGAGTGTGTGTGAGTGTGTGTGTGTGCGTGTGTGAGTGAGTGTGTGTGAGTGTGTGAGTGCGTGTGTGCGTGCGTGTGTGAGTGCGTGTGTGTGTGTGTGCGTGTGTGAGTGTGTGTGTGTGAGTGCGTGTGTGTGTGTGAGTGCGTGTGTGTGTGTGAGTGCGTGTGTGTGCGTGAATGCGTGCGTGTGAGTGTGTGTGCGTGTGTGTGTGCGTGTCTGTGTGTGTGTGCGTGAGTGGGGAGCGGTGGTATCGCGGTTAGCGCTACGCTGCCCTACGAACCTGGCCACCCGAGTTCGATTCCTGCTCACGGCCAACACCCAGTGACGATTGTCTGAACCAGTCCTGGGCCTCCCCTAGGTCGACTCGGCCTCAAATGAGTACCTGGTGCGATGTGTGAGCATTTCCACTGGGGAGACAAAGGCGGCCGGACGTGGTGCTGGCCACCCACCCTTCGTGTGCCGTGCCAGCCTTCATAGGTGCTCGCTAACAGCACTTGCCCCAGCAGTCTGTTGAGGCTACACGGGAGATCTGACTCTGCCCGTGAGATGTCACGGTTCCACACCACCTCCCCTCCCCAGGTGTCCCACCAACTCTCCCCGCTTATCTGGAAATGTATATCACGGCAGCCGAATACTCCAAACACCGTGACGTTGGAGTGGAGAACACCGGAGAAAAATCCACGCGACCACCACGGGGAGGGCGAGAGACACGCAAACTACAAATATACAGCAGCAGGCATCAGGGTCAGGACTGAACCCACGACCTCCTGTACACCAGGCGAGGTAGTCAACATCTCTTAGCCACCGTGATGATGATGAGAGAGAGACACGCAAACTCCAAATATACAGCAGCAGGCATCAGGGTCAGGACTGAACCCACGACCTCCTGTACACCAGGCGAGGTAGTCAACATCTCTTAGCCACCGTGATGATGATGAGAGAGAGACACGCAAACTCCAAATATACAGCAGCAGCAGGCGTCAGGGGTCTGGATCGAACCCACGACCTCCTGTACACCAGGCAAGGTAGTCAACATCTCTTAGCCACCGTGATGATGATGAGAGAGACACGCAGACTCCAAATATACAGCAGCAGGCATCAGGGTCAGGACTGAACCCACGACCTCCTGTACACCAGGCGAGGTAGTCAACATCTAGCCACCGTGATGTTGATGAGAGAGAGAAAGAGAGAAACACGCAAACTCCGCATTGTCAAGGCTCGGGATCGAACCCACGACCTCCTGTACACCAGGCGAGGTAGTTAACATCTCCCAGCCACCGTGATCATGAGAGAGAGAGAAAGAGAGAAACACGCAAACTCCGCATTGTCAGGGGTTGGGATCGAACCCACGACCTCCTGTACACCAGGCGAGGTAGTTCACATCTCCTAGCCACCGTGATGATGATGAGAGAGAGAGAGGCACGCAAACTCCGCATTGTCAGGGCTCGGGATCGAACCCACGACCTCCTGCACACCAGGCGAGGTAGTCAACATTTCCTAGCCACCGTGATGATGATGAGAGAGAGAAACACACAAACACCGCATTGTCAGGGTTTGGGATCGAACCCACGACCTCCTGTACACCAGGCGAGGTAGTCAACATCTCCTAGCCACCGTGATGATGATGAGAGAGAGAAACACGCAAACTCCGCATTGTCAGGGTTCGGGATCGAACCCACGACCTCCTGTACACCAGGCGAGGTAGTTAACATCGCAGGGCTGTGGCGGTGGGGGGGGTGATGGCCGGTTGTGTGGTTATTTTTTTTTGTGTTGCCCCAGCGTGACGATCCGCTCCAGATGTTTGTCGAGTTTGAGTGAGAAACAAAAGTTGATGGTCTACGAATCCCTCGATTGGAATCGTTCGGAGCGTATCATTGCACCCCCGGCTGTCAGCCTGATTGTTGTTGTGGTGTTGTGGTGGTTGTTGTTGTTGTCATTGCTAGCGAAACGTCACGGCAACTCTGGTTGTAAACGTGGGTGGATTTAACTCTCCAGCACCACACAACCCGGTGCAGTGCCGAACTCGTGGCGAATTGGGCCACGTTTTGTGCGCGTGACAAACCCCTCGTGCGAATTAGCTGTGTCGGGTGGTGGTGGTGGTGGCGCGTTTAACGACAACATTTATACTCACAACTATTATTACACTGGTCAACAATAACAAAAAAATCTGGCCTGGACTTTTGCAGCTGTTCTAGACTAATTTCAGGGTGCTGATTCCAAATCTGATCTCAGATTTGCTCTATCACATCTCATTTTTATGCTATCGGCATACCCCATTTTCATTGATTTTACCCGAAATTAACTATGTCACTTATGATTTCAAGTTGTTGCGAGTCAGTGACTGCTTTAGTGTGAAAATATGGTGCTGTATTTTTAGGATAGTGTGTTTATAATAGCATTTTATGTAGATATCCACATTTATTTAATATTTTTCTTCTGCAGTTTTTATTGAAGATGCAATATTTGATATCTCAAAAACCTGATGTGATAGACAAAAACTGATGCCAGATTTGGAATCAGCCGCCCCAAAATTACCTTAAAACTATTGGAATACCTCATGCCAGAAAAAGTGTGTTGACCAGTGTTATGGAAAAAAAAACACACAAGACCTTGATGATGGATAATGTTGATCGGGCGTTTAACCCACAAATCTAGGAAAGGTAAGCTCGTCACAATTTTTTTTGTAAGAAATGGACGTTTACTTATTATTATAATTATTATATTGTTATCATCACTGACCCGGCAGCATCCTCAACACCACCGCCGTTTAATGACGCGAATCACCGAGCCGTGTTCATTAAATATTGCTCGCCGACCTTTGAGCCCGTGCCGAGCGTGTGGTGAGCCCCATCACCACCACCAGCACCACCACGCAAAAACAAAGATCCCCCGTGTAGCCTCTAACAGACTGTTGGGGAAAGTGCTGTTAACGAGTAGCAGCAGCGCCTATGAAGGAGACAAAGACAAATATCCCCCGTGTAGCCTCTAACAGACTGTAGGGGCAAGGTGCTGTTAACGAGTAGCAGCGCCTATGAAGGAGACAAAGATCCCCCGTGTAGCCTCTAGCAGACTTGGGGCAAGTGCTGTTAGCGAGTAGGAGCAGCGCCTATGAAGGAGACAAAGACAAAGATCACCCGTGTAGCCTCTAACAGACTTTCGGGGCAAGTGCTGTTAGCGAGTAGCAGCAGCAGCGCCTATGAAGGAGACAAAGACAAAGATCCCCCGTGTAGCCTCTAACAGACTGTTGGGGCAAGTGCTGTTAGCGAGTAGCAGCAGCAGCGCCTATGAAGGAGACAAAGACAAAGATCCCCCGTGTAGCCTCTAACAGACTGTTGGGGCAAGTGCTGTTAGCGAGCACCTATGAAGACCGGCACTGTGGCACACGAGAGGGTGGGTGCCCAGCACCACGTCCGGCCGCCTTTGTCTCCCTAGCGGCGATGTTTGTGATGACAAAGTTTGTACACCGCACCAGGTACTCATTTGAGGTTGAGTCGACCTAGGCGAGGCACAGAACCGGTTCAGACAATCGTCACCCGGCGTTGCTGGCCGTGAGCAGGAATCCAACTCGGTCCATAGCCGCGTTCGTTTGTGCAGCCCGCTCCACCACCACCACCATCACCACCATCACCATCCCCACCACCATCACCACCATCACCACCACCATCACCACCATCACCACCATCATCACCACCACCATCACCACCATCACCATCCCCACCACCATCACCACCATCACCACCATCACCACCACCATCACCACCACCACCATCATCACCACCATTACCACCATCACCACCATCACCACCACCATCATCACCATCATCACCACCATCACCACCATCATCACCATCACCACCACCATCACCACCATCATCACCACCACCAATCACCAATCACCACCATCACCACCATTACCACTATCACCACCACCATCACCACCACCATCACCACCATCATCACCACCATCACCGGCAGCAAAAACCTCGCCCGTTGTTTACACGCCGCGTGAATGTCACTGAATCGGCAAATACAGAGACGGCGGTGGCTTTCGATCCCCCCCCCCCTGCGGCCCCCACCCCCGCCCCCCACACCCGCCCCCCACACCGACGATGACGATGATCCTGACTCCTCGAATCGACGAGACTCAGAGAATTACATAGAGACCCATAGAATCACATACCCGCACAGAGACTCAGAGAGTTACATAGAGACCCATAGAATCACAGACTCGCACAGAGACTCAGGGAATTACATAGAGACCCATAGAATCACAGACTCGCACAGAGAATTACATAGAGACTCAGAGAGTTACATAGAGACCCATAGAATCACA